GTGCAAGGATTTCCTAGCTCTGCCTGTCCCCAAGCTGATGCTTTGGACTCCAGCTCTCACCAGCCCTAAGTAGTCATGCTGTGCTGTGGTTGATAGGTGCTGCAATCTAAAACATCTGGAGGGCACCAGCTTGGAGAAGGCTGTCCCAGATGGGCACACACACACACACAATTAATCTCTCCTGGATTGACTGACACAATCCAGATTCTAATGCATCTAAAGGAAGGAGAGCAAGGCAGGCAACTGTACAGAGCAGAGAAATCCTAGCAGCGGTTCATTTCTAGAAAGAGAGAGGCTGATGGGGGTGGGTTTGAGCTTGCATGTAAAATGTGTGATGCATCCTGGAGACCCATGCTTCCCAAACCAAATTTGGGGAGCCTAGCTGCTGTTACTTGGCCATAGGCACTCTGCACATGCTCTGGTTATTTGACAGCCTCCAGCCCTGAAGTTCAAACAAGCTCTGGAGCAGAGTCCCAGCTCAAAGCAGTTCAAGAAACTGAGGCAAGGTGCATGATCCTGGAGAAGGTAAAGAACAGCCCCAGAATCACTAACTAATCTGATGTGGCAGGAAAAAAGAAAATCCTTCCCACCTGTAAATCCATAGCATCAAACAATGAGCAAAGGGAAGTAGGTAAACCTACTCCCTGCAGATGAGTGACTATTTTATAAGTCTGGCTTAAGAATCTCAGTGATGAGGCAAGGAAACGAACCAGCTCCATAAGGTCTTGTAGCATGCCATGCCAAAAAACGTTTGATATAATACACACAGAGATTTCTCTGCAATCCAGAAATCACGTTTAGGCTGTAATTCAAAACACATTTACTAATGAACAAGCCCCATGAACAGCAAGGGGCATGCTTCTCACTAAACATATATTGATTTATGTAACAATGTGATCATAAAACATCCTGCAAAACACACACACACAACCACCCAAAACCATAGCACTTAAGCCTGGGCTCAAATTCTTAGCACACTTACTAGAATGTGAGAGCTGTTGGATTCCATAGAACCTACTTCTAGGAAAGCCTGCCTAAGATTTAATTGTAAGATTTTCAAAAAAAAAATTAGTATTCTCTACACTGAACAACACTTGAGAATATCTGTAGCACATTTGAGCATGCAAAATGCTCCATGTCTATCTGGGTAATCCTTCCAATGATGCTGTAAGGCAGGTCAGGATTAATATCACCCTCATATGGTTGAGAAGGAGATGAAGCTGAGAGCATAGTCCCCACACATACACACACAACCCTGCAACTCTCCTGGCAAGTATATCTTCACTGAGGTGTGGGGAGGGGACCAGGAGGACCTCTTGGCTGCCTTACAACAATGAGATCCTTGGTCCTTCTGGCTCTGGAAACTTCAACCAGCAGCAACATTCCAGAGCTTCAGGCAGGGCTCTATCCCAGCCACACCTGGAGATGCTGCTGGGGACTGAACCTAAGTCCTTCTGCATGCAAAGCATTTGCTCTGCTCCTGGAACACAGGAAGCTGCCTTATACTGAGTCAGACCATTGGTCTACCTAGCTCAGTATCACTGACTGGCAGGGGATCCCCACCAGGGCTTAGGCAGGAGTCTCTCCCAGCCCTGCCTGGAGTTGCCATTGGGGACTGAACCTGGAAGCTTCTGCCTGCAGAGCAGGTGCTCTACCACTGAGTTCCAGCCCTTCCCCAACCCCTAGTGGCTTGCGCTCTCAACCAAACAGAAAAACTGCCCCACTGTTCCATATGCACCCATTAAATAAATAGGGTTCGAAGGGATCACTAGTCTCTAAAGCCGGGGTGAGGAACCTGTGGCCCTACAGATGCCGCTGGACTACAGCTCCCATCATCCTTGAAGATGCTCACCGGGGCTGATGGAAGTTGGGAGTCCGACATCGTTTGATGGGCAGCCACATGTTCAACACCCCTGTTCTATGGTCCGCGGGAGCTGAAGCCGCCCTTTGTGTCACAGAAGTGTTCCCAGAAATTGCAACAAAATCTGTCCCTCTGAATGCAGTGAGGCGAGTGCATAGAGGAACGGAGCAGAATGTTAACCAACGGTGCAAATGAGGGAAGGGAAGGAAAAAAACAAGGCAGATGCAAAGAAGTGACTCATCTCACTACACCTCCCCACCAGCATCTAAATGCACATTTTCACTCCCTGTCATGTTACACACACATCCTCTTATTCATCGCTCCAAAAAGAATAATGTCAGACTAGCGTCTATAGCAAAAGCTGCTGCAGGTATTTGAATCCAGCTATCACAAAATACTTTCTATTGAGACCAGCCTTCAACCTGGTGCTCCCCTCCATATGTTTTGGCTGAGGCTGATAAGAATCGTAGTCCAAAACATCTAGCAATGACCAGGCTGGCAAAAGTTGATTAAGATCTATGAAGATATTTAGTTCACACACTAGAAGGGTTAGGAGCAAGTAACCCACATTTTTTATTAAAATATAGACGGAACAGCATGCCCTAAGTGTTCTCTCTCTAACCACAGCTGCTGAAAGACGGTACAAAGAGATAATAAAATAAAGCTCAGATGCTGACTTTGGCGAATCTCCAGGGAAAATTCTGTGCTCCGGAGCTATTTGGAAGGCCTCACTGCCACACTCTTAAGACACTGCCTGAGAACATGGCACAACTTACAAAGGTGCAGAGGTCAGTGAGACATGGGTTGTAAGAATAGAAAATATGTAGGCATGTTGCATTTTACCTCTTGAGAGTTTTACGCCAAGCGATAGCTGGCATGTTTACAAGCCAACCTCCAATCAGTGGTAACTCAATGCAACACAAGCAAACAAGAATCTATTGGGAAATAAACTTCAACCCTGCTCCTAGCACCCATAACACAATTTTATTCTAAGATACAACTCAAGAGTCAAAACCCAGCGCCTATGGCATCAAGTGGAAATGGGGTTGTATACATGAGCTATCCAGCTGTCACCACCACTGATAGAATATGCCTGTACCCCAAAACACAAGCCTTTTTAATGGTGCTGGTTCACACATGCACATGTCAGTCATGAGAAAGCAAGGGATTGCATACATGTGAGAACCAATCATCATTACCAGGAAAAAGAGTGTGTGTTTTAGACAGAAGGGCACTCTGGCCACCAAGTGTCATTTCTTCCTTCTCCTAGAGTGGGCGCCAGAAAACACTTCTGAACAGAATCATCCACCTTGTAAAAGAAAAAGAAAAAGAAGAAAAGGGCAGTATTACTTTTTTAAAAAACGGGAGTTGGAAGTGAAGCTTCCCTAATGAATCCCGTTTCCTTCTTCGCCTCGCCTTCTGTCATCGACCTTCTCTCTTCAAAGCAGAAGCCTTTCCGTATTCTGGATCTGTTCCTTTTGGGGAAGGGAGGCGGGTGGAGAGTCCTGCATCCTGTTGCCACCCCCCAAAGAAGAAACACTGCGGCTTGCAAGCCAAAGCAATTAAACTGCCGGAGCCGCCGAATCCAATTGCAATTTAGCCAGCTAACGAGACACTCTGTTGCCTTCCGCCGAGAGAAAGAGAATTTTTTCTCCTTCTTTCTTCTTCCTGGCATTAGGTAATGCAACACCAAACGACCACCGATTTTCTCTTCCTCGCCCCCCGCCGATGCACAGAGACCTCTCCAAAATTTGCAGGCGATGATTCAGATCGCACCCATTTCAGATGCAAACGATGTTGGGAAGTTGCATGCACGAAAGAAAGGAATCCGCTGGGAAAATCTCCTTCCCTCCCACCCCCCGGCTCTTTTGCACCAATAAATCCCCATACGCATTAAAAAACAAAAAAACCACCTAAAAGCCTCGAATTAGACGTAGCCGATTTACGCTGATTCGTTTTCATGGCGTTAAAAGCTAGCAGCAAAAAGCAGCCGGGGGGGGGGCGGACAGCTGAATTTGGCGGGGAGGAGGGGAGGGAAGAGAACCTTTCGCGTGAATGCAGCAGAAGGAGGAAGAAGAACCGGACACTTGTATCTTTCGCCTCCCCGGCCAAAGACGAGAGCGAGAAACACATACAAAAAGATATTTATTCTCTCGCCTCTGCCACCCCCACGCCGCCGCAATCTGCCACTATAAATATCAGTCTAAAAAACTTCCAAACCGACTCATCCGTGGGGGGGGGAGTCGTTCTCATTTGCAATCATCATCATCATCATTAGAAAAGCTACCTTTTTATAGTTTATTTATTTAAATGTGCAAGCTCTAAAAAGCAGGAGCAAACTTGCTACCTTAGGCGGAGGGAGAAAATTTTGCCTGGGGGAGGGCAGGTTGCGATTAGTAGTTGTGCCATTTTGCGAGCGGCGTTCACAAGCGGGGCAATTAGGAATAACAGTAAAATAAAGATACTAATAATTAATTGGCGTTCCATGCCATCAATTTGAAAGGAGGAGGAATCGGGATGGAATCCGGTGGGGGGGGAGGGGGGTGATAAGAGAGAGCAGGAAGGTGCTGGATGGAAAGAGGGGGTGAAAAGAGAACTCATCCTGCAATCAATCGCAACCAACTTTACTCCGGAGCCCGGCGGCGGCTGCGGCTTCTCCGCGGGCACTTGATGGGCAAGGCAGGTGGGAGCGATGGCGCGGCGGGGAGCGCCGTTTGCTGGAATTCCGACGAGCGGCTAACGCGTGGCGACCAAGCGCTCGCCTTTGCCCCCCTCTCTCCGTTCCTTCCATCCTCGGACAAAGCCCCGTGCTCCTTACCTGATCTTTGTTCAGCAGGACTTTAAGATCTTCCACGATGAAGCAGCCAGAGAGCTGAAGTTTGCCATCCCTTGCGTTGGAGGTGATTCATTTATATTATTATTTTTAATAAAAGAAAGAAAGAAAGAAAATGATGGGGCGCAAATGCAAGGAAGATTCATTTAAAAAGGCTCCTTTTAACTTGCACTGCGGATGAACCCCGTAGTTGATACAAAAAATGAAAAAGTCTCCACCTTCTTCCAAAAAAAGAAGAAAGAAAGAAAATTAGAGGAGGAGGGGGGGAATCTCCCCCCTCCCTACTCCCTCGGTGCGTCACTTGAACTATTGCACAAGCGTTTCCCAGATCTGGTGGCGGCGGCGGCGGCAGCGGTTGGGCTGCTGCTGCTGCAGACGACGGACCCTAGCGGAGCAAACGCAGCCAGCGGCTCGCATCCTTCCTCCCTCTGGCAGGCGGGCGGGCAGGCAGGCGGGCAGGCACGCGCGCCTGGGCCCGGGGCTGCCGGGCGCCGCCGCCGCTGATCCTCTTGCCTCGCCTCTCCTTGCAACAGCAGCAGCAGCAGGGTTGGGCTCGCGCTGCTCCGGCTCCTGCAGGGCTCTCGCTGGAGTGTGTGTGATACCAATGGCAGCGGCGGCGGCAGCAGCAGCAGGCATGGCGAAGAGTTTGCGCGGAAAGGAAGGAGGGAGGGGGGAACCCAAAGAGGAGGAGGAGAGGAGAGAGGGAGAGAAGAGAGGAAAAGGACTTCCTGGGCTTTAAGGAAGCCCCGGACAGATCGAGGCTTGGAAATGCGGGCGACCCGCTTTCCGACAGTGCGGGTGGGGAAGTGGCTCGTTCAGATGTCCCCGTAAAGCTGCAGTCCTAATGCGGGCTCGCCCGGGAGTAAGGACCTGTTCACACGCGAGGTAGAGGTAAAGCCGAGTTTAGCGCTGGATCGTTGTCTCATATGTCATCGAACTGTACAGATGGAAGGGATCCTAAGGATCATCTGGTCTAACCGCCTGCAAAGCAGGAGTCACAGCTAAAGCATCCCTCACAGATGCCCACCGAACCTCCGCTTAGAAACCTCCAAGGAAGAGGCCACCACCTTGCAAGGGAGTTCATTCCAATGTCAAACGGCCCTTGCTGTCAGAAAGTTCTTCCAAATGTTTCCTTGCCGAATTTCCTTTCTGGTAACTTGAAGCCATTGGTTTAGATCCCACCCTCCAGAGCAGGAGAAAACAAGCTTGTTCCCTCTTCCAGGTGACAGTCCTTGAGATACTTGAAGATGGCTATCATATCTCCTCCTTGTCTCCTCTCTTCCAGGCTAAACATACTCATCTCCTCAACCATTCCTCATAAGGCTTGGTTTCTAGACCCTTGATCATCTTGGTCGCCCTACTCTGCGTACATTCCAGCCTGTCAATATCCTTCTTAAGTTGTGGTGCCCAGAACTGGACACAGCATTCCAGATGTGTTCTGTCCAAGGCAGAATAGAGTGGTGTTATTACTTCCCTTGATCAGGAATTTCTGTTGATGTAGCCTAGAATACCATTAGCTTTTTTCTTTTCTTTCTTTTTTTTGCTGCCACTGCTTCACACTGTTGACTCATTGTTGGTTTATTTATTTATTTATATTTATTATATTTATATACCGCTTTTTCTTCCAAGGAGCTCCACAGAAAACCTGTATGGCAGGTTAGGTTGAGAGACAATGACTGAGTGAGGATTTGAACCCTAGTCTCCTAGGTAATAGCCCAACTCTCTAACCATTAACCTCGTGCTTTCCCTGAAGAAAACCCAAAGCGGTTGGCAGAGTGGGGTTTAGAAGGACGAGGGTGGAAACCGATCGATACCCCAGTATTGGACTGACACCCAATATTCTATCTATTGGTAAGGAAATGTTTTTTCCAAAATTCATGCAGAATATGGAGTACCTTAGAAGTGCACAAAGACACAATGGGTTAAAAAGCGAGGCAAGAAGAAAAGCAAGTCCTCTGCCATACCGTCAGGGTGCCTTATGGACTCCCTCATGTCCTGCTTGTGAGCTGGCCACATACATCTAGTTGGCCGCTGTGATGAGCAAATGCAGGACGAGATAAGCCTTTGGCCCCATCCAGCAGATCTTATGTTCCTAGACAGGCCCCTGCTTCCTGAGATAAATTAAAATAAAAACAATTCAGAACATCTAAAAACATTTCTAAATCGTAAGATACCCCCAGAGTTAATTATTCCAAGATTACCAAAAGCAGCCTCTTTCAACCATAAAATAGTAAGGAAATAGGCAGGGTCATCCCTCCAGGGGATTCCACAAAGGAGGAGCCACCACCAAGCAGTCCCCGTTGTGGTGGGGCATAGCCAAGCAGGCAGCATCTAGCAGCCTCCCCTGTTGATTGCAGGACCCAAGCCAATTGATATTGGACTATTCAGGTCCCAGTCCATGTCGGGCTTTGTAAGCTATCCCCAACACCTTGAATTGGACCCCGTAGCTCACTGGCCACCAGCACAGTAGAGATATTTATTCAGGTATTACGGTAAGAGATATAATGCTATTGCTGGTAAAGGGCCCCAGGGCATGATCCAAGCCAGGGCTCAAGGGAAACAGGTGCTATTTTGCCATGGTGAGTTGGGTATGCCTAGCCTGGAGAAGAGAATAGGTGATGTGATAGCCACCTTCAATTATCTCAAGGGCTTTCACATGGAAGATGGCGCAAGCTTGGTTTTTTGCTGCGGCAGAAGGTAGGACTCAAATTAATGGATTCAAATTGCCGTAAAGGAGTTTCTGATTAAACATTAGGAAAAACTTTCTGATAGGAAGAGCTGTTTGATAGTGGATTGAGCTACCTTAGAAGGTGGTGGACTCACTGGAGGTTTTTTAATAGAGGTTGAGTGGCCACATGTCAGGGATTATTTATCTGTGATTCCTGTATTGCAGTGGATTAGTCTAGATCAGGCATAGGCAACCTTCCGCCCTCCAGATGTTTTGGCCTACAACTCCCATGATCCCTAGCTAACAGGACCAGTGGTCAGGGATGATGGGAATTGTAGTCCAAAACATCAGGAGGGCCGAAGGTTGCCTATGCCTGGTCTAGATGGCCCTCGAGATCCCTTCCAGCTCTACAATTCTATTAAAAAGACTCTTTCACTGCAGAGTTGTGGCACTTTATAGCCTTCAAAAATCAAGAAGACACAGTATCTACATTTTTTAAAAAGAAAATATTTTTTTAAAGAAAATACACATACCTGAGCTTATTTTCATGTGAACTGACTCCTCTCCAGTGATATCCACTTCTGCTTTCATCCACGTTGCCACTCACAAAAGAAATGTTTATGTTAAATTATGTTGCAGTTTAAGTGATGTTTTTCCTTCCATTATCTCTTTTGTCAGTACTTAATTGAAAACCTCAATAAACAATTTATAAAAAAGCAAAATGCATCAGACGCTGGGGAGGGGGGCTCACTTTTAAGAAAATTAATTGAACATTGACTTTGTGCTGAGGAAAATGAAGGGGAAATGCACTATAACGTGTGGGATCCCAATAGCTTGATGTGATGTCATCTCACCTCCTCAAAAACACATCAGAACAAATGCCCAATGAACCACAGATGCTGTAGAACCTCATTGTGCAGACCAACCAGCCTGACTGCTTAAGAAACAGGGTGTCCTATGCAAGGAAGATCCAGCTCCAAACCCAGCTGAGGCACAAAAGCTAAGAGGACAATCACTTTCCCACAGCCTAACCTCAGGCATTTTCAGAACACAACATAAAAAGAGACCTGCAGTTGGATCAGGCCAGTGGCTCATCTAGTCCTATATCCAGTGGCCAGCCAGATGCCTTTGGGACACCCACAACCAGGAGTTCCAGAGCAGCTTTACTTGAGCGATCTGAATTTACCTGCCTGTGACTGAATCCCTTCTGAAAATAGTGACAGCCTGGAAGAAGCACCCATGTGTTGCTGTTGTTGTTTTTGGAAAATCAAAATTAGAAATGAAACAAAGGAGCACAATGAAAGTTACAAAACAGGAGCATTGCAGCAGCTGTATTTTGTCAAGTAAATAAAGAGGTGAAAATATAGAAAAATAAGAGCAGCAAAACACATTATGAAAGCCAAATTTCACGATTTTCTGAGGGAAGAGAGTTTTTTATATCTAATCTTGACGCATAAGAAATGAAATCCCACCCAATGGAGTAGAAATGTGTTGGGTCTTTGTAACCCTTAGAAATGCATCATTGGATGTGTTATTTTCTCTGATGCAACCAGAGCCCACATCTTCTGGAAGCACCCACATGTGACAGGGCTGTTGTTGGGTTGAAAGGCAGGAAGAGATGTGGGCACACAATTTTTTGGAGGAAGGGGAAGGCTATGAATGAGGAGGAGGAGGGTTGGTGGGGTGAACGATAGAGTCTCTTCCCTGGCTCCTGTGTGACATGTTGCCACTTTCCTGCCCAGCTCGTCTAAGTGTGGATGGCATGTCCAGCTGGTTGTCCTGTCCATGTAGAGCAGGTGGGGGAGCATTCCCTTCTGGGCAACCTTCTGGGGGCCACATGCCAGTGGTGGGCAGGGCCATTGTGAAAAGAAGGCAGGGCATCAAATGTGAATTTTACCTTTGTGCAGTTGGCTTGTTTCTACACACCCCCTTGCATCCCTCTCTGTCATCCATCTAAGAAGGCAAGAGGCATTATTGGAGTTCAGGAACACAATCCAGCCAAGCAGAAGCACTCAAGGTTTGTGAAAGAGGCATGTGACTGGAGGAGAACCTTGAAAGCCAGACTGAGAGGTCTGGAGGGCCACATTTAGACCCAAGTTCTGTGGTTCCCCAGAGGTTCATCCACACATTGATGTTTTGAGAAAAAGAGACACTAACTTCTGAATTATACAGAACTCTGTTTCAGACAATGATAACCACACATATTTGTTCATTTCGGGTGCAGTACCACATCCCAATGGTGGGCGACCCATAAGAAATATATGGTCCCCAGTTATTGGACACAGCTCTGGTGTCAGAAAGGGAGATCTGATGTCAGAATCCCACTTCCTGATGCTGCGGAAACCTTTGAGGCCCTGCCCTAGCCAATGCCTGAGCTCTGAGAGGGAGAGCCAGTGTGGTGTAGTGGTTAAGAGCGGTAGTCTCGTAATCTGGGGAACCGGGTTCGCGTCTCCGCTCCTCCACATGCAGCTGCTGGGTGACCTTGGGCCAGTCACACTTCTTTGAAGTCTCTCAGCCCCACTCACCTCACAGAGTGTTTGTTGTGGGGGAGGAAGGGAAAGGAGAATGTTAGCCACTTTGAGACTCCTGAAGGGGAGTGAAAGGCGGGATATCAAATCCAAACTCTTCTTCTTCTTCTGATGTCAGCAGGATTCAAAGGAGGCGTTTTACAGTAATTGGACAGCAAAATAAATCAAACTCTTATAACACATAAACGTTAACGACACTAAAGGCAGCAAACTAGAGAGTGGCCAACAAGAGCAAGTTTTAGAACACCGCAAATATGAAAACCCATATCCTAAAAGGCCTTTGGAGATCTGGTGCCCTCTGTGTGCTTCAGACTATAACTCCCATAAGAACAGCTGGGATCCCAGCATCATACAGCTGTGCTGGTTGAGACTGATGGGAGTTGGAGTCCAGAATATCTGGAGGACATCATGTTGGCAAAGACTAAAAGAACAAAAACCTA